TTCGCACACTGATCCTTTAGGCATGCCAGGAATATGATTGTGGGATCAAGTCCCATTTCGTCCTGATTATGTTGCTGGTTTCTACAAATGGTAAAACATCTGCTACCCACATCACTCTGGACTTTCTCCACTTAAGCTGACAAGCAGTGTTTTGACAGAAATAATGTTCAGACAACTCATTTTTGGAAAACATCTTTCATTCAGTTTACCTATTCTCTCAGCTCGCAGATACGGTGAGAACGCTAAAATAAACCAAGCATTTGTAGAGTTGCAGAAAATTTTGTTCATTGCCTAAAAAGATATGTACTTAGTGTAACTGCTTGCTTAGCCGTTTCCATTAATTAGGGTATGCAACAGCCCATCTTTTGACAGTACCTGATCCTGGGTTCAAATCTCAATCTCCTTGGTTTGCCTGCACCATACACGTGTTAGTTATTATTTATTGGCCCTGCCATGTAGCTGTAACATTGCTGAATTAGACATTAAACAACAAACCAACAATGTGGTTTGTGGTCTATGTGAGGGTATACCATCCATCATTTCGCTTGAAGCAAATGTTTGAGAGTTGGAATCTGATTGGTCGATAAGAGCGATGAAGAAGGGATATAACTCATAACAAACACTGCTGGTGCTATGATTGAGACACAAAAAAGCCAGCCTAATTCAGCAAGCTGGGTGTCTTTACAGTCAGACAACTTCATTTCCTTTGGAAATATGTTTCCATTGTAGCCAGGAAACTGACAACAAATTTTTACAACAGTCTTCACATTGAACACAAATAACATACACTGTCACAGAGAAAGGGATTTATTGAAACAGTTTTCACATTATTGCAAACAAAACTTCGTAAATTTGGTTCGGCACTAGGTGATAGTTATCGCCTAAATCAAGTTCATTTTATAAAACAAATACATCAATACCATCCTTAAACCATCTACAAAGCAAAGATAAAACAAAAACATTTGAGAATAAAAGCAAGAAGTTTGTCAAGAGGTTATACTCACAAGCCCTCATGTCTTTGTGAAGATTTAAGATTATTATTTATTTTTTTTGACATGACCCCGACTTGAAATGCTTTTCGAGTCAGTGGTCATCTCAAAAATTATTTTTTTTAAATCTTCAGTCCTCGCAAAGACAAGAGGGCCTGTTGTTATACTATCATAGAAATGACCAAATATCAAAAGAAATCTTTGAAATAGGTTATTGAATTTCATCAAGTTGAACATTTGGGTCAATGCAAAGGTCACCTAGAAGACATGTATATGTAGAAATAACAAATATTTTGCAACATAGAATTTCATCCAGTCAAATGCATAGCTGATTGGAGTCATAGTGAGATGGAAAATTCGAGTCATCTGCAATGGTGACAAATAGCTTAACTACCCAAAGCAGTTTTTCATAAATAACATGAGAATTGATGTACTTACTGATAACCGAACACTTGCATTTCACAACCCAGCCAACCACTCAACAACAGTGAAGAATGAGTTATGGGTGCTAATACAAACAGTTCTGTGTCAAGTGTAAAATAAAACATGGCTCCAATAACCAGTCCAAACAATTTCCTGACCCTTGAAGATCCGGGGTTGAATAGGTCTTCAGCAACCCATGCTTGCCACAAAAGGCAACTATGCTTGTCGTAAGAGGCGACTAACGGGATCGGGTGGTCAGGCTCGCTGACTTGGTTGACACATGCCATCGGTTCCCAATTGCGCAGATCGATGCTCATGCTGTTGATCACTGGGCTGTCTGGACCAGACTCGATTATTTACAGACCACCGCAGCTGGAATATTGCTGAGTGCGGCGTAAAACTAAAATCACTCACTCACCCAAACATGTCCCAGTGGATCTAAACCCTGCAAGTGAGTGAATAATTTTGGTTTTAATGCAGCTTTTAACAATATTTCAGTTACTGAAATGATAATGTCTTATTTAATTAAATCCAGGAGCTCGGGTATGGTGGAAACTAACCTAGAAGCTATCAGGGCAAACTGGGATTCTACCCATGAAGATCTCGATTACAATTGGACTTCAGCAGCCCATGCTTGTCATAAGAGGCGACTAACGGGATCGGGTGGTCAGGCTCGCTGGCTTGTTGACACACGTCATCATATCCCAGTTGTGTAAATCGATGCTCATGCTGTTGATCGCTTGATTGTCTGGTCCAGACTGGATTATTTACAGACCGCTGCCATATAAGACTTCCGCCCATATCCCCCGTAAATTTTAACAATGAGGAAAAATTTCTTTGAGTGGCATTTTTGGAAGTTAAAAGTTATCCTTATTAGATGAGGAATATATATTCTGGTGATATGATTTGACTAGAATGAAATTGAAGGGGGGATACAGGTGGAAGTTTTTCCGTGAAATTCATAATTTCATATATGTTATTGGTTTACATCAGTTACAGTTATGTTAAAAGAGAAAATGTTATGAAATGTCAATAATACAGAGAAACTTCACCAAGCTGGCCTATGTATAGTTCTGACCTAAATCCTTTAACCAATCACAGCACTGCGCTCCTTCACTGCAGAACAGCTTGATATTACCCATGGGATGTTATGAGAAATGACTCCTCAGGCAAGGGACATAAATCTCATAACATCCAACAGTGAAGTGTTTTATTCTACACGATACAGTTGTATGTCATGTAAATGTGATGAAGGAACCACATGTATTTTACACCTTCACAGTTATTGGTTGCCACCATGGAGATTATAGTTATAGTACTATACAATACACCTTGATATGTTGAACTTGCTTTCTGTTGTTCAAAGAAATATCTAACCATACACAATAACACAAAAATGTAAAATGTAAGGTGAAATAGTCAACATATTGTATCTTACGTATTAAACATCCACTTTCTGGAGATGCCCTATGTTTCATCCGCTCCCACCTAACAAGTAAACAAGGTGGGGGATAGCCTTGTGGTTAAAGCATTCTTTACTCACGTCTAAGGTCCAGGTTCTATTCCCACATGGACACAATGTGTTAAGCCCATTTTCTGTTCTATGTTGTGATACTGGTGGAATATTGATAAAAGCGACGTAAAATCCAACTCACTCACAATCAAACGCCTCTCACATCATTTAATTAAGTTCCAACAGAGAAAAATCACTTAACGTGCTGGTTTATTATTTACTTCATCATAATAACATCTTTAAACATTCTACAGACAATAATGGCTGTAAGTAAGTTAACCTGACTCACTGTATTTGATCAGCATGTTGTTCCCAAAATGTATCTGAAGGGAACATTGTACAACTAGACTGAAATACATATGTGAATCACATGAGAAAACAGTTTCCGAAAAATACTGCCTTTAGTTTCTTTATTAAGTCCAACTGTAAATTTATGCTCCCTGCCTCACACTTTTATAAAATTAAGGATTTTTAAATCTGCTCAATAGTTTACTGATACTTTATCCTCGTAAAACTTCATGCGAAAAATCAAAACAAAATGATGATAGTTTGTTAAGTAACTTTTTAATATTGAAGACAAACATTATGGTACTTTTTTCCAGATTTCTGATATTTTCATTACATTCTGCATTGAAATGAATGTTTGATCATGAACAGATTTGGAGTTAGATTGTGATTCATCGGTGTCATTTTGACCCAAACAGACAACTAAAACTTTACAGAGTTATGTCCCTTTGTCCACTTCACCATGAAGAACACAGGCGCTGAACCAGTCAAACCTATGACTGAAGGCATGAGCATGATAGCATGCAAATAAGACAAGTCACTAAATCTAACCATTTAGCCTCATTTTCCCTGGGTCCACACACAAGTTGGAAAATTGTCTTGGTCACATTGGTGATGGAACCAGCAACCTTGAAATTCTTTTCCACACAGTAATTATCTCAAGTGATTCAGAGGCATTTAATTGGGTCAGGAAGCAATATTTTTTTACATTTTTTAATGTTTCCATAAACCGAAAACAATTAAGCCACATCCATGACAGACGTCTGTTTCCTGATTGGTTGAATGTGTGGTAGCTGTGTAGCACTATTGCACTGAATGACTGTCGTTTGTGTTTTAACAGTTAAAACATAAGAGATGTTTCAGTATGTTTTTGCCCTGATTTAGTTATTAATTAATGTAAACACAGAATGCCCACTTTGTGTAACTCGACTATGTGGATTTACACAGTGGGCACCCTGGTTTCGAAATATTAACTTGTAAATGTAAACAATCATGTGTTGTTGAAGTTGTAAATAGAAGACTAGAATAATGGCTGCTCTACGTCGTTATTCCCAGCATAGGTTGAAAAGAGTAAACCATGCAGAACGAAGAGCAATATTATGAAAGTTCTACATTGAAGTTGAGAACCCCCGAGAGTTAACAGACACCAACAGTCAAGACCAATCAATGGATTACAACCAACTGTAAGAGTAAGATGAGAAGTGATGAAGGGTAAGAAATATTATAGAGATATAGAACTGCAGGGTAGCCTCGTGGTTAAGGCAGTCGCTCGTCACGCTGAAGACCCGGGTTTGATTACCGACATGGTTACAATATTTGAAGCCCACTTCTTGTTGTACCCCGCTGCGATATTGCTGGAATATTGCTGAAAGTGGCGTAGTACCAAACTCACTCACCTCCATCTGAGTTAAGTCTGACACGGCTTTCAACAGTATTTGCTAATATCACTACGAGTTGGCTTGGGTGAAAATATGACGGTCATACATACTTAGAGAACCAGCAGCTTGCAGTCAGGATCATCATGAGGGCACATCTTGGATACAAACTCATGACAGAGATCCTGGCACAGCCAAGGGAAGCAACCCTGCACAGCAAACTGCACTTTAGACCACTGGCGACACTCATCCAGCCCCAGTTCGGTTTCACACTTAGGCTCTAGGACCAGGTTACGAAGCTTTCATAGCTCTGAGACTATCATAACTCCTATGCTATAACACAGAATTATGACTGTTGAAGAGCAATGATCATGTCATGAAACTGGCCGCAGGTCCATTAACAAATTGTATAAATTTGAGCTTTTTCTCTTGTTATTTAGAGTTAATTCATAACAAATATTTTACTTTTAAGGAATTATATTTCAAAAGGTGCAAGATACGACTAAGAACTTTGTTAAAGGAGTAACATAGTACCACAATGAATCCTTAGATATGATCAGGTTTTGACGTCATAATGTTGATGGAAATACGTTTAGAACCATTCCTGCTGTAAGGACACATTTCAGTAGGTGAGGGCTAACTGCATCCACATGTTTCTTCATACGGACCATCGAAAGATCCTGCTCTTGCGGTTCCCATGTCCTTGACCTTTAAAGCTGTGTCCTAAAGAACGACTACACTATGGACTTCCACAAGAGGCAGTTAAAGCAACCTCCACACTTCCACGTGCATCAGTTAATGCTGTTGTTCACGATGAATCTCTGTCACTTATAAACTTGATGAACATACATGTAGACATGACAAAAATTGATAAAAATGTTCGTACATAAATGACATAGAAATATTTGTCTGAAACATGCCATCATCACAGAATGAGTTGAGATGTTCGTCTTCTGACCCCACCCCTTCGCCCCCTCACCACCCCACTCGGGAGCCACATCAGTATCATCCTCGACCAGCATCACATAAAGTCAGTGCCTGCACTATTGTGGGATCTTCTTTGGATCCTTCAAGGAATTCGTCAAATGTCAACCGATTGTCTCTATTCTGAAAAATAATCAACACAAATTTAAAAATTTAAACTTCATCAAAATGTAACATACAGCAGGAATTGTAACAAGTATAAACATAGTCACTGACAAGAAACTACTTCTAATTTTGTATGCTATTTCAATGAAAGAGAAATAATATACATAGCTCTATATAAATAATATTTTGTTGGACCGCTATAGTGCAGTGGTAAGGCATCTGCCTATCACGCTGAAGGCCCAGGTTCAATCCCCGGGGGAGGCACCAAGGTTTGGGTCCCGAGATGGGCACATTTGCGTAGTATCCTTGGACAAGATAACTTAGATCCACATTGTCTCAGTTCACCCAGCTGTAAAATGGGTACCTGTGAGAATGTGCTGGCAATGTGAGTGTTTTGTTCATTGTGCCTAACAGGCACCATGCTGTATGCTCCCCAGGGAGTTGAAAAGTATGATAGTGTCCTATGACCGGGGACAGTAATGTACGTAGCGCCGTGAGCAGGCAATGTGCCTGGATATGAGCGCCATATAAGCGGAATATTACTATTACTATTAGCGCTGGTTATCGCTCACAATATGCAGATTGATAATCAGGCCCCGATTTCTCAAAACAAACTTAAGTCTGAGTTTTGACTTAAGTTAGAGTTTTTACTCAAATATGAGGAAACGCATTTCCCAGAATGAGCTGAAATCGATATTTAATTCAAACATAGTAGATAATTTAAGTTTGGTGAATAGAATACTGAAGTTGTTTGGGCTTTTTGTATTTTAAAAATGCAGCTGAGTTAAAATTCAGCTGTTTCAAATACATGTAGTCAAACTCAGTTTGAAATTTGAGTAAAAACTTAAGTTCGTTTCGAGAAATCGGGGCCTGAGCTCAGTAGTCAATCAATTATCGATTGTAATCATAAAACCCCACAAAACTCATGTGGGCAGTAACAGGACACAATCGTAACATTGTGCAAACAAAACAGCACCGATTAATACCATGATCAAGACCATCGAGGATACTTCTGTTGAGACAGACATGAGAGTATGTTGTTACATTGCAGTCTTATGAGTCAGGAAACTACATTAGCTGTTTATATTTAATTAAACAAACATAACAATAAGAACCATACTTTCAAAAGTTTAATTTCATATTTCATTTTTTATGATTATCAATTTGTCTACCGAGCCCATCGATAATTGTTGATGCCAACAAAATGGATCGACTGACTGATTTATTGTTCAGTCACCTCAGCACTATATAATACAATCATGTCAAGACTCTGATTGGCATTAAGAAACTGGAAGAGCAGGAAGACATGATACATTCATGGATAACAAATTCTTTTTCAAGAATGCACCAGCATGAAGAATACTTAATTATGAAAACTCTTACACACTCAGAACTAATCTGATTGATGAGCTTATATTCATTAGTAAATTGGATTTTGGGAGTTACCTCCCCTTATGTTACGCTAGAGGTCACTGACCTGTGGAACCGCTATATGAGTTATGTCCCTTTCTACAGAGAGCACATGGCAATTAAATCAATTCATAACATCTTGCACTGTTCCTTGTGAACATGAAATATGCTTTCTGAGTGTAAGAAACACAGAACATTGTCCAACTTAACTACACTTGTGAGACTTTATGTTCTATTCAACTTGTGACGAAGATATCTTATCTTTCTCTGACACAAAACCGATTGTAATCAAATAGGAATCACTTTTTTTCTGTAATTTGGAGGGGGGGGGTTGTCTTTTTGTAGTAGGGTCTGAGCTCACAATTTCATAAGACAATTACCCAAAATATTTGTAATCTCTAACTTATTTTCTTCTATATATGTCAAGTTCATAGTTAAATATAACAAATTATTATCCCCATCAAAAAATGAGATGAATTGAATATAATATGACCTTCAATTTGTGAATATAATAGAATTGAAACAAATCATGCGATAAGATAAATTTTTCTCCATTCATAAACAGAATCAAGATTTTCTCAGAAATCTGGGGTGTTAGGGTGGCCTAGTGGCTAGTGGGATCCCGCCGAAGACTCGGGTTCGATTCGCCACATGGATACAAACTGTGAAGGCAATTTCTGGTGTCCCCCACCGTGATATTGCTGAAATATTGCTAAAAGCCGCGTAAAACTATACTCGCTCACTGACAGAAATCTACATAATTGATGTAGCCAAATTATCTTCTCACCTTATCCATGACCTCGAATATCCGGTTGACTCTCTTCTCCGGTGTGTTCTCTTCTTCTGGGAGCTTCACCATTCCTCCCTGTAACCACCATCACAAACAACACATTAGTATTATCCTGTCAAGGCAGTCTCCTGTCCATAAGTTTAAATTCAGAGTTCAAATCCCAGATTCTGTCTGGTTAGAACTCTAGGTTTGTCAGCACCAGACCCATGGTAGAGGCCTTTACCACACTGTAGGGCTGCATTACTTAAGATTCTCCTCACACATCAAGCTGACATGCTGGGATAATGTTCAGAGCACTCTCAAGACATAGTCGTCTCACAGTCCCTGAACCCCATTATTTTCCCTACTGCCAGCCCTCCCTGCAATGCTAAAGCCCTAAATGAAGCAAGTCTAGATGTCCCCAGGTTCTGAATCTCTGGTCTCCCTGGGGCTCCTTTTCAATTTAAATGGGTTTGTTTGTTACTATCAGAATTATATATATTCAGAGACTAAGCGTTAGTCTATCTCTCTATCTTAAGCCACTCATGACAAGCATGGGTCAGTTATGCCCATTAGGTCAATCACTGGATTGTTTGATCCATGCTCCAATATTTACATAAAACTGGCATATAGGTTGAAAAAACAACAGATAAACCAATCCTCCCCCTTCCCACAAGTCAATACATCTGACCACTTGAGCCATTTTTTGGCTGGTCGGTAGGTATCTCACTTGAAGTCTCATTTAAACAATAAGTTGAAACTGACATGGATTTTTTAACATTCATGTGTACAAAATTACACTCATGATTGTGTTTTATCTCATTTCAGTCACTGACAAACATCCAGAAATTATTAAAAAAATAATAACAATTTTTACCATCAATGAAATGAAACTTGCAACAGAGATCATATTTTTTCTCGGATTATTAATTTGAATGTTGGAACATGTCTCCATGTCCCTGGAGGTAGTCTTACCACCATTTTGTAGATAGCATCTACGATGTCCAGCAGCTCCGTCCGAGTGATGAAGCCATCAGCATCTAGGTCATACAGTCGAAAGGCCCCTGGTGGCAGACAGGCATGATAAATATCAAATCAGAAAACTTTCACGAGATCCTATTTCAGTTTCACATTTACTACTTTTTCATATGACCATGGGACTGGTGTGTTAGCCTAGTGGTTAAAGCATTTGTTCATCACGCCAAAGACCTGGGTTTGATTCCCCACATGGGTACAATGTGTGAAGCTCATTTCTGGTGTCACCCACCTGATATTGCCATTCTCAGTCCAAATATAACAACTTATCTAAAGACACTCACCTAAGGAGAGATACTATCTATCTTACGATCTTTATTTATTTAATTAATTTATTTATTTATTTATTTATTTATTTGAGGCTTTGTTCAGGTGAGCTAGACATTTTGACATGTTGGAAGCAGGTTGTCATGATAGTAAAATGTTCCATAATTCAGGAATTACACCACCAATAACCACAATACTATTGATCATACATGGTTCCAAAACACAATGTCAAATGTCCAGCCAATTTTCTTTGTAATATATCTTGATGTTAAATATCTGCCGTACTCTGAGAATACATGAAAATATTATCACATAAGTTCCCCATTAACATTCTCCTGGACATATTCATCAATAGTAATCAGGCCATTCCTTCCCCTGCAACATGAAAAAGCACTAAAACTACACCATGATCATGGAATATTGACAGGAGTGTTAAATGGTTCGTATGATAGCCCCTTGACATGAGTTTAGGTACATATATCCCTGTAATTGGATTGCTGGGAACCAGCATGCTAGCGGAGCACAACCGGGAATATGTTAGTGGTGATAGGGCCATGATGAATAAGGGCAGCATCAGATAAGACTTGCCTATCAACTAGTTCCAGTGTGAGGACCTGTAACAGTACTGACACAGTAGATATATAGGTTATTACATGAGAGTTTCTGTGTCAGTACTTACAGATTTACAAATCAAGAAGACGATTTTTCTTATTATTAGATTTAAGAGGATCTCCTTTACAAAGTCAACATTTTAGAATAATCTGCAATGAGAAGTAGTATCTTCTTTACTGTCCCAATCTGTCTGTCTGAATGCATGTCTCTGTGTGTCTGCGTGTCTATGTGCATGTCTGTGTCTGTGACAACGACATTAGAATGTACAGTGTACTCTGTCAATACCGGCATCAGTCGGGACCAAATAAAAATGCCGGTTTTGACAGAGTGCCGGTTTAGCTAGGTTTGCTTATGACGCCTGGGCACACGGAAGTTTGCTTTCGTACTGTCACTTTAGCATTAACAAGATGTTTGAATAAGAAACAAGGCAGTGTCTGAATGCACATTCATGTTGTTTAAATCAAATAAAAAATGTCTGAAATCTCTTATTAAATTTCAACTGATCATATATTATCGGCAGAATTAAAATTATAAACTATTTTTCGCAATGTTATTGCAAACAACGATTCTTGTTTATGCTTCGGCAGCGGGTCTACAATAGCATTGTCAAAGAGCAAAGTAACGATGTTTCAAACATCGAGGAAATCATTAAATAAATTGAAATCAACAATAACATTCATAAAAGTTGTCAAACGTACATATAAAATTACTATTTCCATACTTTTGTGCGATCATGCAATGTAAGTCAAGTCACTGACAAGTTACATCTCGGCTTTCACACGATGCTTAATGAGAAAATATATGCATGAAGCATTTTTGTCATAGGCCATAACCTAGCCCGATATGTCCGATATGTTCCATAATTTACGTATTGGTAGTGATGTCTTTCTTAATATGTTCAGAATAGCATTATTTTACCCAAAAACTTTCGTCTTAATCTAAAAGTTCAAGTTTACGAGGACGGTATCCATTTTCATAATATGATTGGCTGCTTAGGTCACGTATCTGATTTTGACCTATCACGACCCTTATAAGCAGAGTGTAGTGAAAAAGCGTCGTTAGAAACCAATCTTTATCCAATAAAATCGCTTCTTACAAATGTGAAAATACTCTCGGCAAGAGTATAGTGATATTGTTGATGTTCAGAGCTTTCGAACGATACCCGCCATCAAACGATTCGCCTCTATGTAAGTGACACGTGCCACTCACTAATTAACAAGAAACTGATTGACACTTCCCGTTTCTGAATAATCTCGAGTCAATACCCATTGAATCAACAAAATGTAAATACTTGCTTGTTTATACAGTCAAACTGCCCACTACATGTATTAATTACTCTGGGTAAGTGTTACGTACCACTCACTGATTAACAAGATACTGATTAACACTTCCCGTTTCTGAATAATCTCGGGAGTCACAGCGAATTGTGTTGTTACATCATTTGGACCTAATTGCATCAAAGGGTTACGCCGTCTTTCATGTGCCGGTTTTTACAGATTCGTTTTCATAACAACTTGTTCGTTGGGACTGAAAAACAATGCCGATATCCCGAATAGACAGATGCCGATGTTTACAGAAGTTTCTAAATGATAATAACGTGCATTTCTGCCGGGACTGAAACTTTGTGCCGATGTAGACAAAGTGCCGGTGTTAAGAGAGGCCGGTATTGACAGAGTCCACTGTATTAGAATCTACGTCAAAATGTCGCCTATACAGAATATAGAAGTTGTATATCCATAAAAATTGTCCTCATTCTTCATTTCCTCAACTTCTAGAATGCCAATCAAAGAAGTCAAGAGAGTAACCAGCCTGGATGATCCACTAAGCCGATTCCATTGGACATAAAGAAGGCAAAATCATTTGAATAGATTATCAACAATCAGTGACACAAGACTGGTTGTTTGGAATATCCCATGGATCCAGATAGAGACACTAAGCATGAGGAAAAGGGGTGCATTAAAGAATTCTAAATATTCAATCATATGGAGGTTTTATAGGTGATTTTATAGTGTAAATAGTGTAAATGTACTGAACAATTAGATACCTAAGTCATTTCGTGACATATCTTCAAAAACCATTACATGACTACAAAGCACAAACATATAGCAGATTATTTGTATTCACCTGGGTATTTTTTCAAAAGTTATATAATCTGCACTCATGTATTTATCTGTACAGTAAAGATGCTGGTCACTCAACACTGTTCATTTGAAAATCCTATTTCATTACTTAAAGGGATTAATCTCTGTAGTTCAATTAAATGCAATGTTCAAAATAACGCAGAAGTTTGATATAATAACTAAAACATTCAAATAAACTTTTCCATTTCTTCCTACTTATCGATGTTACATTCTAAGAAGTGGTTGTCATATCACAGAAAGCAAATTTATGAGGACAGGTTGATCAAATAAATTCCTCAGTAAAATTCAAATATCTAAAGGTTCAGAATATCTACTTCAGAAGCTCCACACTTATCAGTAACGTTATAAAAGCATAATTTCTTGTGTAAAATGGTCATTTGATTCAGCTTTATTAGGCCTGGAAGTGTCCCCTGGAAGGAAGGGAAACATGCTCTGAGCTCCACACATTCACAATATTTATCACGTGACACTAACTACCATTTTTTTCAGAAGGACAATGTGATGTTTTGGCGTCCAGAGTAATATGAGCGTACATGCCATTATTTTCCTGTCTGCCAAGATCGATCAATATAATGACTTGACTGTGTAATAACACAACAACCAGTCAGGGACCTCGCATCACTGAGTAATGGATATTTTAACACTGTGTGAGTTGAATACATAAACCTTAGTTATCATAGTCTTGCTGCTCAAAGCTTCATACCACAAGTGCATTAACAACTTGATGGCTGTGATATTTCATGCATGTGAATAATTTAAGATAAAATGGTCAAATAATAATTGGTGGGAGAACAAGCTTAATGGTGTAATTTTGAGCTAAAAATCATATATTACCCAGTTATTTAATTAACATCTCTGATTGAAGCACTTATTTAACCCACTGATCCTTATCGATAAATATTAAGGGGCAGTGGGGTAGCCTTGTGGTTAAAGTGTTTGCTCGTCCCGCCCAAGACCAGGGCTCGATTCCCCACATGGGTACAATGTGAGAAGCCTATTTCTGGTGTCCCCTGCCACAATATTGCTGGAATATTGCTAAAAGCGGTGTAAAGCCATACTCACTTACTCAAAATATATTTACAGGATTTGAAATTTTAGTCACCTTTTGAAAACATAACAAAACTATTACGAAATGATATTCAATATTTGGTGGCCAGGTGAGCAAAATTGAATCTACAGATACTTACATTTCAGTTTTTCCTCGACATTACCTCTGGACGTTACAGACAGCGCCTGCAGGAACTCGTGGAACTCTATGTAACCATCCTGCAAATAGATGTATAACATTCTACAGATCTGTTATAAAAAACAACTTGAGGACCGAGAGGTAGTACATTACCTAAAGCATTCACTCGTTATGCCAAAATACCTGTGAAGATCCGGGTTAGAATTGGTCTGCAGCAACCCATGCTTATCGTAAGAGGCGACTAATGGGATAGGGTTGTCAGGTTTCCTGACTTGGTTGACACATCATTGTATCCCAATTGCGTAGATCGATGCTCATGCTGTTGATCACTGGATTGTTAAGTTCAGACTCAATTATTTACAGGCTGTCGCCATATAGTTGGAATATTGCTGAGTGCAGTGTTAAACAACAAACAGCAAACAAACATCATGGGTGTACAGAGTGTGAAACCCATTTTTGGTTTCACCCGTCATAACATTGCTGGACGCATTCCTAAAACAGCTTATAACCATACTCACTTCCTCAATGTTATGGGGCGGTGGGGTAGCCTAATGGTTAAAGCGTTCGCTCGACACGATGAAGACCCAGTTCAATTCTCCGCATGGGTACAATGTGTGCAGCCCATTTCTGGTGTCCCCCCGCAGTGATATTGCTGGAATATTGCTAAAAGGGCGTAAAACCTCTCTCACTCACTGTTAGCAACTTCCTATTCACAGCTAGTTCATATTTATAGTTGTTATAAAAGCCATGCTGCTTAGTAGCTCACCTCAATTCTTCAGTATTATTAATCTTCTGTATTTCAAAATTATGACACCAATTGTCAGAGTTCTGGAGAATCTAAAAACTCTCAATAACTAGACTTGTTTGCATGTAAATTGTACTAACAAAAGCACAAACAGCCACTTCTCCACCATTATCTCAAAACCTTCAAGGAATCAATACATATCACAATACACTTCCAGTCCATTGGCGTTGGGACCATGGAAATCCATAGTTTAATATTATGGCTATAAATCTTATGCATTCAAAGTAAGTAACCATGGCATGCAAATCACTCATATGAACAGTGACCAATACAGTGATTTAATTAATTTTACTTAAATGAAGTTTTATGCCTACAGATGCAACTATGCCTCCGAATGACTCCAAGCAATGACATCTGTCCTCCAGTGTTAATAACCTTTACATACCAGACATGCAACTTTCCCTTAAAATTTGTTATTCAAAATTTTTTAGAACTGCAGATGTTCTCATTGATGGGTATAAACATGTATTAGATTCACTGGTATAAGGTAGGCACAATGTGTTAAGCCCATTTCTTGTGTCCCCCGCCGTGATATTGCTGGAATATTGCTAAAAGCGGCGTCAAACTAAACTCAGTCAATCAGTCAGTCACTGGTATAAGGGGGCGGTGGGGTAGCCTAGCGCTTAAAATGTTCACTCATCACACCAAAGACCCGGGTTCGATTCCCCACATGGGTACAACGTGTGAAGCCCGTTCCTGGTATCCCCGGCCGTGATATTGCTGGAATATTGCTAAAAGCAGCGTGAAACTAAACTCACTCACTCACAGGTTTCAGAGGAGGGGATGCTTAAGGATTCCAGATGACACACAAGCAGGTCATGGCTTGAGGAAGGTGAGTAAAGCAAGTTACATGTTTCACATACATAACTCTTCTGTGTTGAGATTTAAAGAAACAAAGTGATGCCTACTTTAGTACATTTTACCAAATAAATCAATCACTTCTGGTGTTATGTACAAGAAATCTAGAAGTCTTTCCCAAAATGTCCCCCTTTACAGAAAATCAAAGGCACCAAGGGAAGGTTGGATGTAAATGATAATATTTTCCCTTCCTCTGACTTAAGACTTTCGCAGAATAACTCTTCTATCCAACAATGCAACATAACAAAAATGGCCACCCTGTTTGAACACTTTTCATTTGTAGTACTGTTGTCTAAATAGCATTATATTTCATGAATATAATTTATGAACTGATTTTTCTGTCAAATATGTTCATTTCAGAGACTAGATGTTAGTCTAAATAGGATAGAATGCCTGGAGTACTGGCAGGAATCTGCAGAAGGGATTCTTTTAATTGTTTGATCGGCATTCTAGAAGTTGGTGAATCAATAATGAAGCATACAACTTTATGGATGACAAATTATTACATAGAGCGATGTTTCGGTGTAGGTTCTTACAACTTTTCAAGCTAAAAGTGAAAACGTCACTATGTAACATGTTTATGTAATGAAGTCATTTGCTGTATTAAGCAGGCATGGCAACAGGAAAATCTATTTTCAACTGAAAACTTAATATTGTGTCAACAAATGGGGGCTCCGGGAAGTCAATTTGAAACAAAATCGTCGGAAATCCATGAATCAGCAGAAAATAGCCATCACTGATTAAGGGATTCTTCTGTTGGCCAATTCTGGTTTGTGTATGACATGATGCACTTCCTACCACTACTACAGCCCTCAGCTCCCTTATCTTGTCCACTCGCAGCACCTCCCGCCACGCTTCCTCTCACAAGACTGACATCAGTATAGTCAAGGCAGGGGTGAAATCTTACCACGCTTCAATTGGTTTGTGCAGGATAGCAGGTAAATCTAGTATGAAGGTTATATCCCATGAAAACAAAAATCTTGAAACATGATATCTTACTTTTATGTTCTTTTATGTTCTGATTCTTCACCAAACAGTAACATGATTACCTTTGTATAGTGATCATAAAACACAAAAGGACACTTCAGGGTTACCATGATCACACTAACACAATTAGAATGAAGTATACAGGGTTATCTCCCATTAATAAGATCACACTAACACAATTAGTCTTTGCCTCTTTATATTTATACAGGGTTATCTCCCGATCATACAATTACACAAATAGTCTTTGCTAAACACAATTTGCTCACTGCGCCAATCTAGTATACAGGGTTATCTCCCATTAATAAGATCACACTAACACAATTAGTCTTTGCCTCTGCCCATTAATCTAGTATACAGGGTTATCTCCCATTAATAAGATCACACTAACACTTACTGCGCCAATCTAGTATACAGGGTTATCTCCCATTAATAAGATCACACTAACACGTCTTTGCTTCTGCGCCAATCTAGTATACAGGGTTATCTCCCATTAATAAGATCACACTAATACAATTAGTCTTTGCCTCTGCTTACTGCGCCAATCTAGTATACAGGGTTATCTCCCATTAATAAGATCACACTAACACAATTAGTCTTTGCCTCTGCTTACTGCGCCAATCTAGTATACAGGGTTATCTCCCATTAATAAGATCACTAACACTAACAGTCTTGGTCAAACAAACATGTCCAAGTCTATATACAAACATCCATCGTGGAGTGAAGAAAGTGACCTTTAAGTGTAACTGCTGGGCGTGGGCAGATTCAGACGTTCATGTGGCTCTATCAACATCAACACCCCATGCAGACCCGATGGCATGTTGCGTCGCTGCTGGTCTGCCTCAGGAATATATGGGTAACCTTACAACTACTTCTGTCAACTAATGTTTGAAAGGCGACCTCCTGCTAATCAAAGGTCATAGACCAAATGAAGTGTGACTTATATAGTTCCACATTAGCAAAGCTTGGCTCTGTTCATGTAGGTTTTGTTCAAGGGTTTTGATCAGTTTTTTAAACTCATTCATAACAGCATATTGAGTAAAACATAAATTCCAGAATCGATGATTTTTACAAATTCTGGTCGGCATGTCACAACCTGTTCAACGACTGATTTATTTTGCATTGTCATTGTTACATGCTCTGTATAACCATACTTGACCTGATCTCTACCCTGCCTGTTGGAACACATGGGCAACTGTAAAAATGATACAAAAAAACCCACAAAATTATTTAAAAAATGAATTTCAGAAGCCAGCAAATGTGATGCTTCATTTGATATAATATAAAAAGACCAGTTCACAAACCTATTACCCAAAGAGCTGAAAAACACGACAAGTCATGTATCATTATTACACTCTACAAAATTTGCACTTCGTGAAAAATGTCTTTTGTAAAACGACATAGTTTAGTCTGAGTCAACTTTGGCCAGGCTAGTTTACTCTCCTTACAGAGTAGCAAAAGTGAAAAGCCAACTGTATGCAAAAACTTTTAAATTTCAGACACTTTTTTGTTCTATTCAATATTTCAATCAAAAATATTAGTTCCATTCAAATGGTTTTTCAGAGTTGATAATAATAAACCTAAACCAAGTAGGAAAAAGCTATTTATTTTTTATCCTTCTCTTTAAACTAACCAAAAAATTCTGTAAAGAAATACTTAATTGGTCTGCAGTTCATGCGTAAAAAGTTCCACATCAGGGGATCCTGCCTGGGGTTCATAAACAGGTCACCTCACAACTACTTACAGGTAGGAGACAATAACAAAATATGCAACACATACCAGTAAGTCTACAGACAACAAAGCTGATTAACTCTTAACAATTATTGGGATACCAAATACCCATCAATAATCTATGTCTCTCCCAGTTCTACAATAACATATGCAAGACTCAGGCGACTCCTTGTGAACGTTTGAAAGTCACAGGTCAGACATCGAGCCCGTCCCTCTGCTGCCTGCCTCACGTCTATCTTATCAGTCTACAGGAATACAGTATCAGCTGCAGCCATTCCAAATGGGTAATCAAATCAGCTACAGTTCTCAATTTGCTTGGGGATTTACTTGGAATCAAAACACAACAAGTTGTCTATATCATCAGGAAATATACTTTCAAGGTTTTCCCCCCAGAGTACACCTTACGCAATAATGGCTTCAACTCACTGGATAAGCATTTCGCTCTCAGCCAGCCATGGGAAATTTCACTCACTTCATTGGCTTAATTGTACCGCTGGTGCTGGCAGGATAAACTGATTATTGTAATTGAATCAAATAAAACCAAAGTTGAAGAAAAAATGACAAAAACATACAGCGCGCACGCAGCATGGCTAATGTAGAGGTTTCTGTTTTATAATACTTCACTAACCCAACTTAGGCCCGAAAAAGAGCATACTATGTTTCTGGTCTTTTGGTTTGGTCTATGATGCCACAATGCAGATTTTCATTATCGTTTGTTTATACTGACATTAAGAATCTTCATATTCTGACAAAATATTATCCAAGAATTAGAATGTGTTTTTACAGCATTTTACGACATTTCAGCAGAAACTGAACTCCTCTCAGCTCCCCGGAATCTTGATACAAACATACTAGTACACTCTCTCCACTCCCTCCCTCACAAGGAATCAGTTTGTCATTTGTAGTTTATATGTCAATTTGCAGAAACTAAGTTAGAGTCACCTGCCTTTGGTAACTTGGGAAAATAAACATGTGGACAATGGCGGCTAAAAACAATGTTGGCAGGAATGAAAAGGCATGATACTATTTTTCACTAGGACATATACATATATATACAGAGAGCATCCATTGTGGCCATTTAATCTTTACATGACCTAAATCTTTCAACCTCAAGGCTCTGGTTAAAATAAGTTCTCATTCATCACCAATTCTGTCCTGGCCACTAAAATACTCGAATTTGATTGGTCAATCCATAAAATCAGACGGTATCAATTTGGATTGAAAATGCGTCTGATTTCACGGCGCTTCACTGCGCACGTATACAACACTGCCGCACTACTTCAGCTTGGCCACCAACATGACTAATATCAACGGACAACAGACGTGATGGAAATGCTGATGAAACATATATTAAAACTCGTAAAATACAATTATACGATTTCTCCTCCACAATTACTAGGGAACCTCACTATCATATTACCTTCTATTATAAAAATATCCAAACTCAATTACAATACACAGCCCCAAATATAAACAAACAATATCTAACATATAAATCAAAACCTTGTAAAAATACATCCCTATCTATCCCTATTGGAACGGGAAGATGCGGCCGAAACACAAAACTTTTGTAAACATTTACCTACCTGGTAAATGGTATATTTGCTCTCGCCACCTTTATAATGGGAAATCACTGCTAAGATAACGCTCACACTTTGAAAACAAAATCTGCCACTCATACTCCATCATGTCCCGTTGCATCATTCAAAATGTCAAAAATTGAACCATGAGAATTCCGTCTCTCATGATCGACACTTTCCCGGTCATAAAATCACGCTCGCATTCAGCTTCAAATGAAATTTAGAGACTATCAATTCGGTCTAACATTCATCTAATTTCCAAACACAGTTTGTCATAAATGGCAACTGCAATGAGTTCGAGGTTTGTGGTGACTATACACATGGAAAAAAGTATCGCAACACCAATGTCTAGCCTGCAGATTGACAGTCATCAGATCTCTCATGAATGACAACAGACAAAAGCTCTTTAATATCTCTAGTTATTGTGAAAGTACAGATGTGCATTAAACTATGGTCCTCGTGTTTGGTAGACTGTCGGCTTTACTTGAAGGCATGGCAATTCATACTATACAAATGATCCCTAAATGTATGACACTTCTTTACAATGGCTCCTCCTGGGTGAGCCAAAAAAAGAAACTGAAGTGGTGACTGACTGACTGAGTTTAGTTTTATGCCGCTTTTAGCAATATTCCAGCAATATCACGGCGGGGGACACCAGAAATGGGCTTAACACATTGTGCCCATGTGGGGAATCGAACCCGGGTCTTCGGCGTGACGAGCCAACGCTTTAACCACTAGGCTACCCCACCGCCCCCTGAAGTGGTGAAGCTGAATACTAGTTATATGTTATTTGTATTGAGTTGCTGTTAGTAGTTTCGTGCAGCTGTTTGCTGGGAATATATCTACACATACTGTTTGAATTGTTGGATGCTGAGGATATGAGAAGTAACCTGTACATATTTACTTCTAAGAAGCTTCCTTTTTTAGTGGAAGAGATTACCAACAATAAAAATCATCTAATTGATGTGGCTCAATACCTATATATTTCATTTGGCTAGAGTTGCTGTTAGAGGGTTTGTGCAGCTGGTTGGTGGGAATAAACATACACATACTGTTTGAATTGTTGGATGTTGTGGCCATATAATTAACATGAATGCATTCACTTTTAAAAAGCCTCTGTTTGCAGTGTCCAGAGACTACCTAAACCATCAACTCTTTAAGAAAGTAATTAACAACTCAAATTTATATTTAAATGTACTGGTATCAAAAGAAAAACGGTTTACGAAAGTAATAATAATATTTGACAAGTTTTCAATCTTTTTATGAGCTTTTCAATTATGTCTTTCAAAATTTCCAAAGAAAAACAAAAAGAGTTTGATATTTTATCAGGTCATGACATTGCATGCAGGAATGTCAAGGTTTGTCAGTAAAATACTTCATGCACCTTTCTTAACGAGGGTTTTCATCCATCAGCCTGAGTAAGGAAAAATCTACGTGAAATCAAATTGATGAAGTTCAATACTTTAATATTCATTTGACTTGAGTTGCTGTGAGTTGTTTTTGGCAGTTGTTGCAGTGGCCTGTGACGACCTGCAATCACCAATTCTTCAAGTAAAAAAAAAGAAAAAAAGAAAAAAGACCCGTGAAGATCCGTGTTAGAATTGATCTTCATTAACCCATGCTTATTGTAAGAGGCGACTAACGGGATCGGGTGGTCAGGCTCGCTGACTTGGTTGACACATGTCCTCGTATCCCAATTGCATAGATCAATGATCATGCTGTTGATCACTGGATTGTCTGGTCTTGACTCAATTATGTACAGACCAACACCATATTTCTGAGTGCAACATAAAACTGCTGAGTGCAACATAAAATTAAACTCACTCACTCACTCAAAAAAGAAATGGCATCTCATAAGATATGTAATTGTACTTATATGTGAACGGTTTTCCAAAATTAAAATACAACAGTTCAGGAGGTCAATTAAAAGGTTACCATCAGATGTCATACATCCAAAACTCACACTTACCTTGTTCTCATCAAAAACATTAAACACAAAAGATGCAAACTTGCTGGGGTCCCCACATGGAAAGAACTGTTGGTATATCTTGGTAAAACCCTGAAACAAATAAATATATATCCTGAATGGTGAATAACATCATATAACACTGACTGGACTGTTGGTATATCTTGGTAAAACCCTGAAACAAATAAATATATATCCTAAATGGTGAATAACATCATATAACACTGACTGGACTGTTGGTATATCTTGGTAAACCCTGAAACAAATAAATATATATCCTAAATGGTGAATAACATCATATAACACTGACTGGACTGTTGGTATATCTTGGTAAAACCCTGAAACAAATAAATATATATCCTAAATGGTGAATAACATCATATATAACACTGACTGGACTGTTGGTATATCTTGGTAAAACCCTGAAACAAATAAATATATATCCTAAATGGTGAATAACATCATATAACACTGACTGGACTGTTGGTATATCTTGGTAAAACCCTGAAACAAATAAATATATATCCTAAATGGTGAATAACATCATATAACACTGACTGAACTGTTGGTATATCTTGGTAAAACCCTGAAACAAATAAATATATATCCTGAATGGTGAATAACATCATATAACTAAACTGACTGGACTGTTGGTATATCTTGGTTAAAACCCTGAAACAAATAAATATATATCCTAAATGGTGAATAACATCATATAACACTGACTGAACTGTTGGTATATCTTGGTAAAACCCTGAAACAAATAAATATATATCCTAAATGGTGAATAACATCATATAACACTGACTGGACTGTTGGTATATCTTGGTTAAACCCTGAAACAAATAAATATATATCCTAAATGGTGAATAACATCATATAACACTGACTGGACTGTTGGTATATCTTGAATAACATCATATAAACCCTGAAACAAATAAATATATATCCTAAATGGTGAATAACATCATATAACACTGACTGGACTGTTGGTATATCTTGGTTAAACCCTGAAACAAATAAATATATATCCTAAATGGTGAATAACATCATATAACACTGACTGGACTGTTGGTATATCTTGGTAAAACCCTGAAACAAATAAATATATATCCTAAATGGTGAATAACATCATATAACACTGACTGGACTGTTGGTATATCTTGGTCAAACCCTGAAACAAATAAATATATATCCTAAATGGTGAATAACATCATATAACACTGACTGGACTGTTGGTATATCTTGGTAAAACCCTGAAACAAATAAATATATATCCTAAATGGTGAATAACATCATATAACACTGACTGGACTGTTGGTATATCTTGGTTAAACCCTGAAACAAATAAATATATATCCTAAATGGTGAATAACATCATATAACACTGACTGGACTGTTGGTATATCTTGGTCAAACCCTGAAACAAATAAATATATATCCTAAATGGTGAATAACATCATATAACACTGACTGGACTGTTGGTATATCTTGGTTAAACCCTGAAACAAATAAATATATATCCTAAATGGTGAATAACATCATATAACACTGACTGGACTGTTGGTATATCTTGGTAAAACCCTGAAACAAATAAATATATATCCTAAATGGTGAATAACATCATATAACACTGACTGGACTGTTGGTATATCTTGGTCAAACCCTGAAACAAATAAATATATATCCTAAATGGTGAAAACAAATAAAATATATATCCTAAATGGTGAATATATCTTGGTAAAACCCTGAAACAAATAAATATATATCCTAAATGGTGAATAACATCATATAACACTGACTGGACTGTTGGTACTGTTGGTCAAACCCTGAAACAAATAAATATATATCTAAATGGTGAATAACATCATAAACTGAACCTGTTAAAAACAAATGAAACAAAATATATATCCTAAATGGTGAATAACATCATATAACACTGACTGGACTGTTGGTATATCTTGGTAAAACCCTGAAACAAATAAATATATATCCTAAATGGTGAATAACATCATATAACACTGACTGGACTGTTGGTATATCTTGGTTAAAACCCTGAAACAAATAAATATATATCCTAAATGGTGAATAACATCATATAACACTGACTGGACTGTTGGTATATCTTGGTAAAACCCTGAAACAAATAAATATATATCCTAAATGGTGAATAACATCATATAACACTGACTGTCTGACTCTATGTTTATCCCTAACTAACATAACTGGTATCTGACAGATACAATCTGTTCCTTATTATGACTGACTGACCGACTGAGTTTGGTTTTACGCTGCTTTTAGCAATATTCCAGCAACAACATGGCGGGGGACACCAGAAATGGGCTTCACACATTGTACCCATGTGGGGATTCAAACCCGGGTCTGCGGTGTGACGAGCCAACGCTTTAACCACTAGGCTACCCCACCGCCCCTCCTTATTATGAACCTAAGGCATTCCAAGCCACAAGGCCTGTTGACACATGGCAGTGTAGGAAAGATGTAGATAATCTAGCCTGTCCACAGGACTGGCTGGTCAAATGTTTTACCAGTCCTGCCAAAATCTAGCCTGTCCTCCAAATATAAATAAAACACCATTTCAAGACTTAAAACTGGTTTGTTTTATCTCATCGATTTCGTTTGCGATAATTTTATATCTGTTGGATTATTCTAGTATCCATTGGCAGTAAATATTCAAAAAGGTTATAATCATTATACATATATGTCATTGGTTTGCTAAAAGTGACCCGACATGAGGACGGACTAGATTTTTTTCACCCGTCCTCCATAAAATTCATCCCCCGTTTCGGACGTTGGGACGGGCTATCTTTCCTACACTGCACATGGTCATCATGGTAACTCGTCACGGAACCGACCAGAGTACATTCATTCATTCATCCATCTTTGCCTCATTCTAGTGTATCTGTTACAATGCCTGAAAAGTATCACAACAAGCAGAATTGGTGCACATATCGGTTGCTATGGTAACTGGTATCTCAAGAAGCTCCACCTCCTAATTACTATCTGCTATCACAACCAACATAAAAGACCAATGTTACAACAAATGTCAATATTCTTCAGAGGCTGTGAACTCCCCCGATCACCTTGACTCCAACCCAGCCCAAAGGCATAATAACAACCCCATCTAGTGAGCACAGTGGGCATTGTTCTACAAAACACTCTCAGCCCTACGATTGTCGCAAGTGTATGTGTATATATGGAAGTAGTCTGTCTCACAGTCTGTCTGTCTGTCCCTGAACCACATTATTTTCCCTACAGCCTAGCCCTCCCTGCAATGCTAAATGAAGCAAGTCTAGATTTCCTCAGGTTCCCTGGTCTCACTGGGGCTCCTTTTCAATTTAAATGGGTTTATTTGCTACTATCACAATTATATGTATTCAGGGACTAAACGTTAGTCTAATATGGAAGTTACGATCATCTTTGCATAAAGATCTCTTACCAAACAGATACAACAATTGTAGGATTGAGAGCGCTTTGTGGAATTGTTCTACAAAGCACTCTCACCCCTACGACTCTTGTAAGTGTATGTTAATATATGGAAGTTACAATCACCTTATCACTAAGATCTCTTTGCAAACAGGGTTGACATTTGTAGGAAGGAGAGTGCTTTGTGGAATTGTTCTACAAAGCACTCTCAGTCCTACGATATTGTCATAAGTCTATGTTAATATATGGAAGTTACGATCATCATAGCACAAAGATTTCTTTGCAAACAGGGATGCCATCCACAAAGCATTCATAGCACTACACTTTTCAGGATCGTAAGCCTAGAGTTACGATGGGTTGTAACGCTATGTGGATCGAGACCCTGGCTCTGACTTCCCACAATGCATTTCTAGCATTCTTTATACAGGTTGTTTTTTCAACTACAGGAAATTTTGGCACTAAAAATCCATCAGGTGGAGTTCACATTTTTGGGGCCATATAAAGTTTCTTCTTCAGAACATTCCTGACTTTGATGTGTGTCAGAATGTTTTCCATGACGACTTTGAATCTCAGATGTTTTTGGTACTTACTGAAGGAATGGTTTGTTTATTGGTATCCAGTTTCATGTTGGACCACAACCATAGCGATTCTCATTCTGTGATGATCGATTTCTGCATGGAAGATGCAATTAACAGTCTACTGACTTACTTGGTTGCTTCTAAAAACATTGGTGCAGGTGATTAAATACACATCTTACAGGGCGGGAGCTCAACTGGTTGGAGAGTTTTCTTACACATTGCTACAAACAATATTTCAGTTATGTCATAGCATGTCATTTGAAAAGGAAAACAACTCTCGCCCATGATGTGGATCAGCGGATCTCAACATAAAAAACAAGAAAACCATTTCCATAATCGTAAAAAAATCTCTGCTAAAAGATTTCACTGTACGCTTCCAACCCTATTATAAACATGCATCCATCATCAAAAAGGAATAATAACAAGTGTTTGTGAAAAGGTGAGTGTAACCAGAACCAGTCACAAACACATGCAAGGGAATGTCAAGTAGTTACCTGAACCCCAGGAACATAAGGTAGATAAGTAAAATCAAGACCTAATTTTAGTCAATGACACATCAAATTGAGAGCACAAGACTAGTCAACAATTTTTTGTGTCTATAATGGTGGGTGAGTGAGTATGTTTTTTACGCTACTTTTAGCAATATTCCAGTAATATCACAGCAGGAAACACCAGAAATTGAACCAAGGTCTTCACCATGACAAGAGAAGCCTTCAACCACTAGGCTACCCCGCCCCATCAGAGAGTCATTGAGTATTTTACTGTAATATTATTTAGCTCATCTGGAGAAATCTTTCATCACTTCTTCTTTGAAGATAAGGGTCTTTAGCAACCCATGCTTGTCGTAAGATTGGGTGGTCAGACTCGCTGACATGGTTGACACATGACATCATATCCCAGTTGCATAGATCGATGCTCAGGTTCTTGATCACTGGATTGTCTGTACCAGACGCGATATTATATACAGACACTGCCATATTGCTGGGGCGACATTAAACAACAAATAAACATACCATACAAACAGATAATGCTGACTTCATAAATATATAGAACATATTTCAGCCTGTCAAC